AGAGTTAGCCTAATCTGATCTTTTAAAGTATTGATGGTTAACAGACAGATATTGGAGCATTTCCTGTGTGGCTGTGATCATCTTTAAATTGGGATTCATCTGATGCTTGGTGAAGCATTTCTTGACCTTGATGCACACCTCTGTTCTTTTCCAAAGTATGTTCTATTTAGGCATGCTCAGTTAACAGCTTGCTTATGATTTTTGTTGTAATTCATCTTTTTTTGAATGCTGTGTTTTGATTTTTTAACCTATGAGAAATACTAAAATATTTTATGTCTACTAGTTCAATTATAGAGAAATAATATTAAATTAAAATTATTATTAGCAGTAGTGGCATTATTAATAGAAATAGATATAGAAGATGCTTCACCAGGCAGAAACGGTCAGAGGAAGATCCAAAAGACCTAAAAAAAAAAAATTTTTTTTCAAAAACAGAAAATAGAATTTTGATAATCAGTATAATTTTTAGCTTGAGATGTATAATTGCAAGTAGGAAAAAAGCTTTATATGTATAAGCCCTAGTAACTTGCACAGGTTTATTACAGTTGCGTAGACTGTTGCTGCAGAGTATTTTGTTATCTTAAAATCATACTTGATATGCATATACAGATCACATTGTACAATAGAAGACTATTCATATTAGTGCACTGTACACCTCTGAATTGGGTTTGGAAAGGATGAAATTCTGAGAGAAGAATGAAAACAAGGAAATTCAGATTAATTTATGCAAAAGTGTGTGGAAGGACTGATAAAAGGGACTCTGGGAGTTTTGTATGTGGAGCTGCTCTCCTTAAAGGCTCATAGCCTTCCTACTTCTAAGTATGTGCTACTGAATTTGAACTTCCCTCCCTATAGAACCTGCTAAGACAAAGTGAACTGATATCTGGACCCTTCTGAATTCTTTTCCTCCCTCAAATTCTCATTTTTGCAGATTCTTAGGTCTCTGCATATAGTTTTTATATCTCAGATATAAAGTCCTATGACAGATTATAAAGATCAGTGTCAACTGGAGTATTAAAAATATCCTATTTGGGGAGGTGATGGCAACACCCTATTTGGGAATAGCTAGAATAGATTTCATTCCATTGTGCCCTTTAGAATTTGATATATATATATCTAAATATTACAATTGATAATATTCTCTTTATTTATTATTGGTTAAATACATTGAACCTTGTGTCTGCTTTGTGTAACTGTTCACCTAAACAACACTCCATTTGACATTCGATTGCCAGAATTTTGAAACATTTTCTTCTCTCTGCATTAAGTAGTAGTCTTAATAATGACGAAGTCCAAACATGTTGTTTGGCTCCCACATTTGTGTCAAGGAGAACTTGCCATTTGATACATGTATGGGACCCACAGTAGTTCTAAGCCAAAAAGCCCATGTCCCAGAAATAGGAATTTTCTGCCTAAGAACTTGAAAGCTCTGACAAGCTGCAAATGATTAATTGAGGTTCAATTCTAGCACTTAGTCTTTGTTTCTTATGTTCTAAAAAGAGATATTACTGAACTAAATGATCTTATTTCAAATAGAGTAGGAAAGTTTGGTGGTTATCCTATATCGTACATAGAACAAAGAACCTTTACACACACACACATGCACACACACTTGACCTATTCATCCCTGGGACGTGTATCTTAAGAAAAATATCCTAAATATAGAGAAAAACTTTATGTAGAAAGATGTTGTGAGCTTTATTTATAATCACAGATCCATGCATTAGCCACCAGAGGATGGATATGATGCAGCTGTTGAAAATGATGTTTCCATACTGTGTAGAAAACTTCTTACATTGTGGTTTAAAAAAGGATATAAAATTTTGTAAGTTACATGCATTGCATTGCGTTTGCAGCTATTTTAAAAATACGTAGAAAAACTCTAAAAGGAAATGCACCAAATTTTCAGTGGTTGCTTTTGGGTGATCGGACTCTGGGTGATTTTTGTTTTTTCTCCCCATTTCATTTTTTATATATGCTATAATGAGCATATATTACCTTTGTACTCATCAAAAGTAAACTTTAAGAAATAAAAGAAAAAGTATCCATTAAGACTATTCTGAGATGATATTTTAGGTGAGTCATTTTGAAAGATTTATGTTTTTAAATTGTGGAGGAATTATTGTTGCTTGGGTTTTGAAATGAACTAAGAAGCACAGTTTTATGAAACTCTGTCTTCTTGAGACCTGAAATGACACTCATGAATCAGTTCCTGATACTTACTTAGGGAATACATTTAAGATTACGTTATTCTCTATTGAGGTATTGTCAGTTAGCTAAGCAGTAACAAATGTGCTGTCACAATTATAAATGCTTGTGCTTTCAGAAATAGACCCTGGTTATTGCAGCTTTGAAATGAGCGTGGTAAAGGCATAAATAGTTCTCTGAGTAGCTTTCTACATCTGAGAGTGTTGTAAACATTGGTGGAGCCATCAAAGTAGATGTTAGGAGTTACTCATTGCCTTCAGTTTTGAACTAGCTGTTATCCTGAGCATGTCTCGATGTTTCCCATGTATAGATAATTATGTGTCTCCATTTGTCTTATTGAAGGCTATACTGGAGCTTGGGGAGAATAGTGATTGTCTTGAAATGTAAAAGAAAACTAAGCTTTAAAGTCAGTCAGAATACATTAGTTCAGGAATGGTAATACTTTCTTAAAACACAAGAAAGGGAGCTATGTGAAACAGATAGTCATATTTGAAGAAATAAGAAATTATTTGATGTTTGTGTGTGATCATAGCTAGCTTAAATCCTAATCCCACTCTCCTAAATTAAAAAATAAATCTTAACATTAAAAACAAAAAGTCTCCATCAGTACAGATGTGTGATAATCACAGGTAGCCCAAAGCTGAAGCAGAAGCTGTAATCCACTTCTAGCTTGTGTTCTCATTTTTATGTCCTGCACATCTCTATTGATTTAGAGTTGTAAGCTTTGAAGTTCTCGGCGATCCACGGTAGTCTATGAGTCTGGAATGTTGGACTCAAGTTTTCATAGTCTCTCAAATTTATGTTTACAGTTTTTGGTAGTCCAAAGTTATGAGCATCTATAAACTTCATGACTAATACTTGTTAGACTCGTTTTAAATGACTACTATGGTCACTGCTTACTGTCAGGTACTGCTTATATTATTAGTTTCAAGAGCTTCTCTTAGCATTTTGGGTATTCAAAGAGTGGCCGCAGTGGGAATACATAGAGAATGTGTATAACAGTTTTAGGTTTCCTTGTCCACTTTGTGAACATTTTAAAAGACTACATATAGATAGTTTTTTTTTTTTTCTTTTAAGTTTGTCAAGTCTGCTATAGAATATATTTATTTTAAACACAGAAAGCATGCAATGCATCACATAGGGTGGCAATTGACTTTGTATATGGGATATTTAATTGAGAGCTGTTATTTTGGGTCCCCTTCTTTTGTGAGCTCTGTTGTGAACTGCAAATTGTGTGCATGTGTGTAAAAGGTTAAGAGTCCAGGTAGCTGAGTGGGGTGCCATGCTGTTAGCAGACGACGAAGGCAGTATTGCTCACCAGGTGCACGCTGTCAGCTCTGTGGAAGATTCCATCTTCATGGGGTCATCTCATGGTCCACTTTTACTTGAAGCCAGGTAACATTTTCCACAGCCAGTCGGTTGACCTTGGAGTTTTTCCAGGTGGAAAAACTGAAACCTAAGGATTCTTTTCCTTTTTTTTTTTTTTTAAAGAGAACAACACTGCCTGTTGGAAAACTAACTTGCAAGGTGGAATGACCATGTATCATTACTTTGCTTTGTGAAAGAATAATCACATGAGAGATTGGAGTGCTGTATGCTGCTTTGCCATGGTGATAAGCATGGGCCAATCTGCCTTTAGTATAGACTTATTTCAGAGAATGGACAAATTGCGTTTTGAGATAACTAATCTGATTGTTCACTCTGTACCTATTACTGAGGGCAAAGTAGTTTTATATAATTTGTATTCTTAGCTCTTAACCCTTTTGCACATGTTAGTGTCTTGGTCTTTTAATGACGTCTCACTTTTGCTTCAAATCTTTTTACTTAATGTAGTTGTAAAATGAATAGACAGTCCTTCTGTGCTCTTAATTCTGCAAATTTTCTACATCATCTCAATTGTGTTCACTTAACTAAAACTTCAGTGACACTTGAGTAGAGTATTCCAACCTTTGCTTTAGAGCTTTGTCCTCTTCATGGTAAGCTGTCATACTTGAGACTCTTGAGGGTGCTTCGCACTGTATTAACTGAGCATGCTCACAAACTCAGTTTGTGACAAAGGCTGTCCCTGTTCTTGTCATGCATATGTCTTTTATGTCATTTACCTTCCAGTCCATCGTGTAACATTATGTCCTGTAGTTGTTACCATTGCCACTGCCTGTCTAACACCAGGGTTTTTATTTATTTATTTATTTGTTATGTTTTTTAATTAATGATAACAAAATTAATACAAACCGATTTACATCTTCTCCCTTTTTGGAATTTTTTTGGTAAATTTTTATGGGGCTCAGTGTTTTTAAAGGTGACTTTAATCATTGCTCTTAGAAAAGTATTGTCACTTGTCACTTAACTGCTTACAAGACAGCTTTGTGGTTTCTGGGGACAGGAGGTGGCAAACTATTTAAGTTCCATGAAACAGACTCTCAAAATTGTGAGAACTCAGTCTTACCTCTTATTTGAAGGACCACAGTGGTATAAAAGTGGTATGTTGATTTGTATAACTTCTGCGTTTCCAATGTGAAAAAAATGTATAAAAATTTAAATGTTGTCTACTTCAAAATAGTAGCTAATTGCACAGATATTTGTCTTTAGTAATATCTACATTATAACTTTTTGATGAAATATGATTAAGCGATCTATATGTGGCTATACGGATGAATGATTGGTGAGCATCACTGTATGCAATTAGCCTGACAAGTGTGCTAATACTTCCCTAAAAGTAGACAGGTACATGACTGGCATGAGGCTCTCACACTAATCGTATTTTAAATAATAATTGTATTTTCTGACTGCAGGCACGTGACACAAGCTGACCTCAAGAGTTCCACGTTTTGGCTTCGAGCAAGTTTTGGTGCTACTGTTTTTGCAGTTTTGGGCTTTGCTATGTACAAAGCATTATTGAAACAGCGATGATTTAAAAAAAAAAAACACTGGCCCTACCAAAAACAAATAACTTTTATGTACATTCTGAATGCTTTAAATTCTGCTAGAAATGTTGAGATATTTATACATGCAGTTACTTTATTAATATTTGTAATTCATGCATAAGAGTATTTTAATGATAGTTATAACTGCAGTATTGGCTAGCATATGAACAGAATACCACTTAACAGCCAAACTAAAATGGCTAAATTTTAGAGGCCAAAAGGGACTATTTTGTAAATAATGTATATATTCAGGCAAGATATGGTCTCACAGAGTGCATTCTGGAAATGATGTCTCTAGACATTTCTACACGGTATCGTTAGTGCTCAGTTGGCTTACTCTCCTAGGTGTGAGTCAGCCCAGAGATTGTATTTAGTCACAGGTCACTTATTTATTTCCCATTTACTCAGAATGATCCTTCTATAAATACATGAGGCACAATATGCCGTTTTCTCTCCGTTTTTAAAAACAAGCAAGTCAGTGTCAGCTTACCAACACAACTTCCTTCCAGTTCAAGAAAAAGGGATCACTTATGGTAGGCCAGCCTTGAAGCCATCGCACAATCTAGAAAATCGTACAGCTGAGTGTGAGCCTCTCCCTTAAGGAAGAGGTAAGCCAGAGGCAAATAGAAGTGTTGTCTATGTGACTGTGTGGCTTTTGTCAGTATGTTGAATTTTATAACCCTTTCAATCAAATGAGAAAAACAATTTGTATATTATCAGTGTTTTTAGTTTAAATAAACAGTCACCATTACCACTGTTGAATTTCTTCCCAATGTGTAAATCATTCTGTAATGGCTGTGTCTGTTAGGGTCTATTGCAGTCACTGCATGTGTCATGAGGTGTGCTCTCTGTCTGGCTAGGACAGCCTAGAGTCAGCACTTTTTTAAATGATAAAATAAATCTAATAAATAATAAGCTCTCATGATAAACCTATTTTTTCCATCATCAGCCTTTTCAAGTATTTAAATAAATAACTGCTGTGTTCTGTGATCATGACTTTTTTGTCTCACAAAGCAAGTATTTCCCTGTAGATGTGAATGAGATCCTCTGGTTTGTATCTTTCTTATCTTGAAAGTTTTTTTTTTTTTTTTTTTTAATGCAAAAAGGTAATACAGAAAAGAAGACAATTATGATTTGTCTGTAAGAGGAAATCTGTTTTAAAAGTTGTGGGAAATCTGTTCTTAAAAAGGCCAGTTTTCCCTACATGTATAGATAGCAAATGTCATTTCTACAATTTACCTGTTTATTTGCTCCTTAACGTGAATTTTTTTCCCTTTGCTGTTCTGAAAGTCCTTTCCTCACAAGATCATGTTTCTTGAGCAACAAGTAATGGCATGACCTACTGGGAATAAAAAAACCCAAACTCACTGCTGTCGAGTCGGATCTGACTCATAGCAACCCTCCTTGGGTTTCCCAGGTGGTATCACCATGGAAGTAGATTGCCCAACCTTCCTTCTGAGGAGTGGCTGGTGGGTTTGAACCGCCAGCCTTCTGTTTAGCAGTCAAATGCCTTAGGCACTATGCCTCTTGTAAAATGTTGTTTTGTTGTTATGTGCCTTCGAGTCAGACCTGACTCGTGTATTTGCTTGCATACTTTCCTTACTTCCCCTTCTTCCCATTTTCATTCTAAATTTGAAGAAAAAGAAATTAAGCAAAAATCTGGTGACTCCTCATCTTTATTATTTTCTAAGAGTTCTCCATTATCAGACAAACTTCTCAGTTACACAGTATCCAAATTCTTCCCTATTTAGACTGCAATATTATTTTAAATGAATATGTCTTATGGATTGTTGCATTTGTGGGAAACAGAAGGAAAAAGGTAGTTTGCCAAGAGCTAAAAAGTGACGTGTTTATATATTTAGATTTAGATTTGAATGTTTAAGTGTCGATTCAGGAGAAGACAGGCCAGGCAGCTGCCCTGCCTTTCCCCTGCCTAAGGCACTTACATGCTAACCAGAAGGCTAGCGGTTCAAACCCACCAGCCACTCCTCAGAAGGAAGATGGGGCAACCTACTTCCGTAGTGGTACTGCCTCGGAAACCCAAGGAGGGGTCGCTATGAATCAGGTTCGACTCGATGGCACATGACAACAACAGGTACATGGCTACTTTCCTGGCATTCCCAGTCCACGAGGGGCAGATTAGCTGAGGAAGTGCATGCACCCTGATTTCTCCTCTTTAACCTGCAGACATGCACAGGTAAATTTTTTTTTACCTCAAATCCACTTTAGGGACTAGTTAATGTGGGAAAATACGGCAGTAATTTCAGTAATATGCTTTGTCTGGCTTTTATAGTTTGCTCAGGAGATGCAAACTGTAAGAATACTAAGAAAAAATGAGGAAAACAGGAACTTGAGCACTGAAAGGACATCTTTTTCACTTTGCACCAATTGCATTATCTTTTAAATGTGGAATTCTGAGGCTGCTTGCTGCAGTGTTGTAATGAACAGTAAGGCAGTCATATGGAGAGACATCATTTTGAGGGTTTGTAGTCCTGTGGCATAATGTAATACTTAGCTTTATTTAGCACATCAGGGGTCTGTTGCTTCTTTCCATTCATACGGCTTTTGCTTTCACATTTGACCAAAACACAAGCAATTTCCCACATTGTTGGTGCTTATAAACTCTACAGTAGGAAAGGGTTCTGATGTGAGGAGTTTGGGGAGCACATAACTATTGTGTGGTGACCTTTGAAAGAAGAGGCAGGAGGATACCTGTTTTTGCACATCACTTGTCAGGACAAGACACCAAAGAGGAGTAATACTGGTGAACGAGGCCTGAACCAAAGGAGAACTGTCCTGACCTGAAGAAGGCAGCTGAGTAATGAATAGCAGGGAAAAACAGGTACGGGCTCAAGCTCTGTGGTAGAGCATCAATCCTAAACTCTCTCTGAGTACAACTGGTGTTAGTGTCGATGTATGTCCCTTTTATCTGAATTATATAAGTCAGTATGTCTTTAAAGTATACTGTAAAACCTGTGAAAACTGGAACCTGTATAAGGTAGGAACCTGTCAGAGAAAGAAAACTGAAATCTTTCCACTAATACAGAGTGATAGAAAAGCATTAAAACTTCACCCTGTCAAAGGTGGGAAACTTGTAAGACCTGGAATAGCAAGGCAGTGCCATTGAGTTCCGACCCCCAGGTTTCACTGTATATAAAAAATAAGTATGTGACCTAGTCCTTGACTGCACATTTCACTTATATGGCATCAAACTTTAGTGCTTAGTGGTCCATATATTTTTAGAAAGCTGACTGAAGACTAGATATACTTTTGGAGAAATCTAAATCAAAATGCTGAGTTTATTTCATGGTTACGGTGTGAGAATGCTCCATACAAGTAGTTTTTGGAACTTTCCACATGTCTTGATTCACAGCCTCAGTAACCCACTTGTTAAAACTCCAAAGGTTACAGATAATTCTTGGCTCTTTATCAGAAGTCACCATGGGTGAGACTGAACATCTATTAACCTATTTAGAAGTCTCTGGTCTATGAGTATCACAGTTGTGTATCACAGACATCTCTAGTGCAGCCTCAATTTCAAAAACTGTGTTCCTTTGCTCCCCTGGTACCCTCAGACTTGTCACACCACTTGTCCCACTTATTTTTGGTTCAGAAAAAATGGACATCTTAGTAAAGGAGAGGTTTGACAATTAGGAAACACTTCCTAACTTCATAATGCCATTCTCGTTCCCAGCTGTGTTTTTCAAGGATAATATTTTGTTCTGAAGATTTTATTTTTTTCCTTTAGCATAGACAGTGACAGAAGTCTGGACGTGAACTTGAGTTGTCATTCTTTCTGGCTGTGTTGTCCACATGTACACAAGGAAGCATTGCCAATATTATTTTCTTACACTGAACAATCAAAATTCGCTGAGAACAATGCTTTTTAGCAATTTTCTATTCAGAGTTTGTGTATAAACCTTTTATATCAACGCTCGGGAGTGTGTATCAGAATGATACAGCTATATATGCTATAGCATTAACTCACAGATCAACAAACATTTTCTGTAAAGCACCAGATAATAAATATTTGAGTCTTTTACAACTCTTCAGCTCTCATAGTGTGGGAGCAGCTATAGACAATAAGTAAATAAATGAGCATGGCTGTGTTCCATGGAAAGTTCATTTGTGGACACTGAAATTTGAATTTCATGCAGTGTTTTACATGTCACAAAATATTGTTTTGTTTTTTAAAATAAAAGAACTTTAAAATCATTCTTAGGTTTCAGGTGGTACAAAAGCAGGTAGTGGGCCACATTTGGCCAACCTCCGGTGTAACTGACAGACACGGTGGTAAGTGCACAGTAGCATGTACTGGAGGTTTACAAAAAAGTTACTCAGTTGTTTGGGAATTTGAAAGACTCAAACCAGGAAATACTTAAAAATACTGAGTAGTTTTACTACTTGTGTGGAAACAAAACTTGGGTAAGTGGAAGGTGCTTGGTGTTCTTCACCTTCACTGACTTGTTGAGCAAAGGCAGTGTGATGCTCTGCTCTGGCCAGGGCTCCCCTCTGAGGGCAGTGTGACCCTCAGGAGGTGAAGGAAGGAAGCATCCATTCACTTCCTTTGAGCACTTGCTTCGAGCTCCACCTTTGGTATCTGCCATCTCTGGTTTCATTTTGTCCAGTTGTGGAACTGGCCGAGTGCCACAAGAATTTGGACTCTGTGATCTGGGGAACTTACACCCTTGAACTTGTCACTTTATGATGATATTTTTTATTCTTTAGATTTCAGAATCAAAATGTCAGAGCTTAACTAGATTTTAAAGATCATCTGTCCAAGTCCATATTTATACACCATAAACTGAGGCATGAAAAGAGGGAGTAACATCCAAAGCCACATTCTTAGTCCATACCTGAACTAGTAGTGTATCAGGCATTGTGTTCCTGTTATTCGTAAGGTCTTCACTGGCCAGTTTTTTTCAGAGGTGAATGGCCTCACCCTTCTTCCCAGGCTGTTAGTCTGGAAGCTCCCCTGAACCCTGT